AACAAAAAAAAAAAAAAAAATCCGTTATCTCTATATTTGATTATATAATTATTGCAATTATTATTACAACATTACATCTTTGCAAAGAATAACTTATCATTAATAATATACAATAATTCAAAAACTATAATAATTTTTAAGTTATTAAAAAAAGCATAAGAAATACAAGTAAAAAGCTTTGTTTTTTTCTTCAATTTTTCGTCAATTTATAAGAATATTTTAAAAATAATAATACATTAACGTAAAAAGTTAGTTATGGAATGAAATAATATCGATTCATCGTCGATACAGGAACAATAATTTACGAATCATAAAATAATGAGTGAGGAAAATTGTCACTTATATATATATATATATATATATATATATGCACTAGTAAATTAAAATAATAAGAATTAAAATAGTTTTATTATATTAAAAGAATATAAGAATATGTCTTAATTTAATATTGGATAGAAAAATATATTTCAGTTGAAATATGTATTAATGAATTAATGAAGTGTACATTGCCTCATGGTGTTTCCAGTTTCATAATGGATTGAACTTTAGTTAATTGAATTAACTTAGATATTTGAGATGGATTAATCTATAAATGGGAAAACAAGTGCTCTTTCTTTATAATCAAACAAATCTAAGCATGAATGGCCATCGATAACTCAAAAAGAATTTGGTATCGCAAAATACCTTTTCTAAATTTCTACAAAAACTTATGAGAGAGTGGAGATTGGCTGGCAATGGAACAATAATTTGTCAATGAAAGAATCATAAATCTCGGACAATTGGTAATAGTTATTGTCATTAGGTGGTCTAATGATCTTGATAAATCGAACGGTCAGCAGGTGTTTTATTAATATTAGACAAACAAATCAACTGGAATAATTAAGCTTGTCAATTAATTAAATTTGAATTAAATGTCGCGTCGCTCGGTAGTATGATGATATATGAACTTAAGGCATACAGAAATGAAAGACATGTATGTGTAATAAGATAATAAGAGAGAAGCAATGATAGCCAGCAAGTACGGACAATCACGAAACTCTACGAAACATTCTACAAAAAATATGAATGTTGATAAAATCGACTGGGCAAGTTATAAATACATCACCACATAAATATATTACCCAAAATAATTATAAAGCTTGAGTTGATAAATATATCATCCTAATTTCCTTAATTAGTAAAATCCAGGTTAATAATCGGGTGATTTTTTTTTTTTTTTTTTTTTTTTTTTTTTTTAAACATTTTTTTTTAAACATTTAAAAGAATTTTTTTTTATAATATTCCATGAAACGATATGGTGAGGAAATCTTTCTTAAAAATGAAAAATCATTGCTAAAATTAAACCGTAAGCCATGAGATAATAAAATTCTCTTAAACCTTTCGACTAAGTTCTACAAAATCAAGCTGAGCTTTGGCATAATCCTTTATCAAATTTCTTGCACATATTGTCCCTCATAAAAATCTGAAATATCAAAAGCAACTGTTAGACATCAATTGGAACTGTTGATTGGCAAAGGTAATTAACAAGCTGAATTCGAAGTAGCCTCATTAAAAGATCTTTAGTTAATTAAATGTCAGGAGATAGACAGTAGGAGATCGAACTTGACCGAGTTACGACGGGCTGTGCTGCTATGGGTTAGTGGGCAAGGTATGTAAAGTGGACAGCATTCATCCTCGAAACATTGAATCAGCATGTAACATGATTAGGTCATTAACGCTCTAACCGAGTTAGCATATTGCAAGGGTCTTGAGCTTGAACACGGTTAGCATCTAGCGACTGCACTTTAACTGCAACCTACGAATTATTGTGCAAGTCTTGGGAGTTATACAAGCACATCTTGTAATTATAATATCTATTGTACTTCAAGGCATTGGCTTTATGATGACGTCGTTATATTTGCCGTTGTATTGCCAATTAACAAATCCAATGTCGTTGTTACTTTCGAAGAGCGGCAATGTACTTTACGCAAAAGTTCATTTTTAATGTCATTCAATCATTGACAATTAAGGGAAGATATTCAACGATGGAGAACTTATGCGATAAGCCACTAACAATGTCAACTAATAATTTTAATTCTATTTTTCTAAATTAACAATTTGCAATTGTAAACTAAATAAGATAAAGCTTCGATCGTTTCTTATAAATATTAAAAAAAAAAAAAAAAAAAAAAATAGATATTTACCAACTCAACTATCAAAATTACGAAAAGTAGGGTATAAATATTCTATTAGAATTCCAAACAATTAATTCGTAATATGTAGCTCTAATGACAACAAAAATTGTTAAAATAAATAAATATATATATATATATATATATATATATATATATTTATAAAGTTGTGATCTTTATTTCGTTGGATTCGTATATGAAATTAAATCGAAAATTATATAGAACAAAAAATGGACGAAAATTAATAATCTAGAAACCGAATTATTTCGATAAAATAAAGTTTACGCATTAAAAAAAAAAAACATATTAAATTTATGAAAATATAATGATCATTGAAGGAAAAAAGTATAGGAATGATTTTAAAAGTATTTTATACATATTTTTCAATAATTCTTTATTACTATTAGAGAAAATTATGCTAAAAACACGGTAAACAATGTAAAAATTGAATTATTAAATACAAAATTAAAGACAAAATTCCCTTCGTCAATCCACCATTCTATTTCAAATATTAAAGGACCATTTATTATAAAAATTAATTCGAATCTTTATGTTAATTCAAATCAAATTATTTTTCAACATTTCGTACTCGAAGTGTACGAGAAAAATACATTATTTATATATACGAAAATCTGTCTAAACTTTATTATCGAGGAAATAATTTATTGTCAATAACAACACTGTCTTATAAAAAAAAAAAGCTATGAAAATAAAAAGATAATCATTAAATAGTTATGGACAAAAACATGTCATAGCCAAAATATCAATAAATAATAATAACAATAATAATAATAATAATAATAATAATAATAATGCAAAAGCAGACAAAAACTTGAAGTATATGATTTTTAAAGGATTTGTCGGTAAGGGATTGCTCGTGGTTTTCAGGGGCGGAAGGTGCTTTTAAAAAATTAAAACCAGAACCATGTGCTTCGAGCCCACACATTGGCCACACGCCAACAACCGCAAGCTGCCCGACGCCCGCGCGACGTCGACATAGGACGACTTTTACGCAGGTTGGTTTATTCAGCATCAGACTTTCTCATTTTTCTCTAATATGCCAGCTCCTACGAAATAATGACTATACCGAGCTCGTGACCACGAAAGCTTTTTACGATATTAATTCTATGCTTTTAGGAACAACTTGCCGAGCTGGAATCGGCATTTGCTAAATCACACTACCCCGACATTTATTGTAGAGAGGAATTGGCGAGAAGTACGAAACTGAACGAAGCAAGAATTCAGGTACGTTTCCATTATTATTATTATTAAGATAATTCTATTCAATCCATCACTGAAACACATATATATATATATATATATATATATATATATATATATATTATATTAATTTTCGTAAGTCAAAAAGAAAGAGCAATGAAGAGCAAATTTATTAAAACACATTTTTACGTAACAAGACATTTTAATCTGTTTTTTAATATATATTTATATATATATATATATATATATATATATTCAAAACAATTATTTGACATTTTCAACAACAATAACAACAACACAAAAAAAAATATATATATATATATAACAATATATTTTCTCTAATTATTTCAATCTTAATTAATCGTATTATAATATTTTAATGTTTATCATCAGGTAAATAAATATTTAAATAATATTTGAACATTTTATTTTATATTATATGGTATCATTATCTTTTATTAATATCAATTATATTGAATTTTATTATATTATTATGACTCAATTAATATCTTCTCTCATCTCTGTATTGTATTGGAATTATTTATTTTTCTCCATCATTATATTTAATATAAGTAATTTATCTTAATATTCCTGTTTATTAAAATTAGCGTTTATTTAATCGTCACCATTTAAATAAATATACGATAAGTGTTTTACATATTGCGATTAAAATAAAATATAAAAATATCCTGCTGCTATAATATGCATTTAGAATCATATGTTTATAATTCTAAAGCATACTAATACTTAATCGATTTATCGAATTGTTCAATTTTATTTCATTAAAAAAATCTATTTATCAAAATCGTAAACGTTTTTACGTATATTCAATATATTATACAATTTAAATTCATTGCTAAGAAATAATATGAATTTTCCTATGTATTTTAATGTTGACGATAAAAAATTCAGCACGAATATTTAAACAATTGGTTTTCATTGATACATATAATATTTTATTAATACATAGCTTATTCGCGCTTTTTTTTTTTCAATAATGTAATAATATAATGACGATAAATGTTAATTGCTAAGGATCCAGGATGAAATGCATTTATGTAGAATTTCCCTTATACATATTTTCTATATATATATATTTATAAATATTTATAATTATTAATATTTTTAATCTATAAAAATTTATGATCGTAATTATTATTAATATTCATGCTAAAATTAATTTTTATTAACAATGTAATAAAGGGGCTATTTAGAATTAATGCTTCTATTAGAAAATTCATTGTGAAAAATGAATCGGAATTCATATTAAAACTTTTGGAATTCAGTTATATTTCTATTAAAATGCTACATTCCTTTCTTATACCAAGTATTATATCATAAATTTTTATGCAATATTTATTTATCTGGCGTTATTTAGAATGTTTATATTAGATTATCTTTTATCAAATCCGTATTAACAATTAATAAAAATAATGAGTAAATAAATTAATTTAAATTAAATTAAGATAAAACGTTTTTCTATTAACTCACTATTTACTTTCTGTATTAATTATTCAATGGTAATAAAAATTAATTTTAAATAAAAATTGTTAATTATTGCGTGTTAGATAAGGAAGTTATTAAAAATTCTAGTTATTTTTTGTATTTTATAATATTATATTTTATTAAAATATTAAGTTATTTATGAATAATTTTTATTACTAAAGAAACATTATTTTTTATATATCTATATAGTTAAATTTTTTACGAAAATGATTCTTCAACTGCTAAATATCAACAGTTTTTTCAAAATATATCAATTTATAATTTATATATACATATATATTATATGATTTTTTTTATGATTGTTAATCCGATTGATGAGAAGAAAACTTATCGTTTAATAGATTTCTACATAAAATTTATTATTCAGTTAAGAAAGATATTCATAAATTGAAATATGAGAACTAAAGTTCGAGAATGAAGTTCTTAGATACTAGTAATAGTACTTTCTTACATCATAAGTTCATTAAATATTATCTGATATATTCGAATGAGTAATTTAATTATTCGTTTTTGAAATAATATGCAAACTTATTGCATTGAATTATTGTTTCATAGTATTATTGTTTATATATGTAAATAGAAATATTAAAAAGTATAAAAAAATAAAATATTAATAAAAGAAAATAGTTTTTACAATCAAAATAACATCTAGATATACTAACATCTAAAAGAGCTACTAAATTAAATTTATGAATAACTATTTCAAAATATACTAGAAATCTACTAAAATAATTATCTTGTGAATATATTAAAAATACATATATTTGGAAAGAGAATATTTTATATTTAGTTTTGTGAATTTTCAAAATAAACGTTTAAAATTACGTGTAAGAATTATATATATTTATTTATTTATATATCTTACTTCATAGTAATTAATTTCATTAAATTTTGAAATTTTATGATTATGATAAAATTTTGAAAGTTTGTTAAATAAGAAATACCATCTGTTTTTGGTAAAATGTCGAATTTGATAAACATAAGCTACATATCGAAGAGTTTCCAATTTCATGATATGATTATGATATAATGATGATTTGATTAAATAAGCGTAGTGTAAGAGTCAATAAATTCACGGTGAAAAAGCTTACCAAAGAAGGATAGCTAGATATATTCAGTTCCCATTCAAATAAAGATATTTTTCCTGTTTCTTCTTCAACGTAATATTATGAATTAAGAGAAATATATGAAATAATGAAATGAATCGAATGAATATACTATAATAGGCTATATATTAATTTGTTCATATAAAAATATTAAGAAATTTATTATCATTAAAGGTAATTCTAAATACAGAATCAAACAACTTCCTTAATTGCTAAAATAACAAGGATATGAGTATTTATTTATTCAATATAATGCTATTATAGATAATCAGAGATACAAATTTAAATAATTCTCAAGGATATCAACTATATTCCTGAATTTTTTTCTTTGCCAGCAGAATGCTTTACCAGCAGTAATCGAGTAGTAATAGCATTTCAATATATGATGTAATAAATAGCGTAATCGAGTAATGCAATTATTTAAAATTTCGATTCAATAATAATAATAGTTCATATATAATAGTAATAGTATTAGTAAGTTCATTCAAATTAACTATTTCCAATGATGAATGTAATGGCTTTGTATATGTAACAAATTGTCTAAATACTAAAATTTATCGAACGTTTAATTTCATTGAATCGTTACAAAAATTTATGTTCACATAATTTAATATACACTGTAGAAAAATATTTGGATAAAAATTATTATAATTCGAAATTACACGCCACGCAATGACATGATAATTTACAGATTAATGGCATAAACAATTTATTGGTGAGTGTAAAGATTATTACGATGCACTTTTAAAGCCATTAAGATTAGAGTTAAATGATATGTAACGTCATTATTTATAAAAATAATTTTATTAAAAGCATAAATAAAATAAAATACATATCGATTAATGAAGGTCTTTAGTGAAAGTTTTCTTATTTCTTACAATATTCTAAAACTTATAGCAACGATTATTAGCGTAATTTAATACATTTTTTTTTATTTAAATTTGCAATTTTGCATTTAATTAGCTTAAAGAAATTCTTATGTTTAATCAGTGCCGGTATATTACTTTTTTTTTTTTTTTTTTACCATTATATCCTCGTAAATTAATGAGCTTTAATGCTGTTTAACGAATTCTACAAGAGTAAATTCTATTATTATCTAATGAAATCTACGAGAATTATTATACTCTCTTATATATTGCACGAAATATAAACTATATATATATATATATATATATATATATATATAATAAAATATATAATCGATTAATTACTGTTAATTATACTTGTCAATGCAATGATAGAGAAATAATTGGGTAGTCATAAAGACTATATTAAAAGCATTGCTGGATAATAAAGAAGAACGTAGAAAGTGCGTGTAGAAAGTACGGGAAATGTCTCAAATTTAAATGGAGAATCTTAACGCGTACGTGATAAAGCACAGAGAAAGTATAATGCGGTATCCTTAAAAGCAATTTAATATTTCTACCAAGACAGCAGCGGTAAGTCTTGGAAGAGGTTCGACCGTGGCGTCGGTGCGTTCTAATATCCAATCCGAAAGACGGTTAAGTTTGGTTGAGGGTCTCGAGTGGGTGAGACGGGTGGAGTAGATCGCGTGGACAGTTCAATGGAGATAAGCAAGGGAAAGGAAAGTTCGAGGCTCTAGCATCTATACACCCTCAGTGTTAACAACATGGCTCGAAGTATTCTATATCTAGTCGGTTGGGCGCGTCTGTGAGGGTCGGCCGAATAGCGGGGAACTGGGGCCAAGCTTGACTGCTCCGAGGGCGGCAAACTTGAGACGTGTCGAACCTGACCCTTGTCGCGATGAGCCTATCTACCGGAGGCTACCATTATATCTGAGCCGCCATTTTAAATTCAATTTTCTCTCCACCCTCGATAGATCTGAAGCATTTCAGGCTTGCATCCGCGCGCTCGAGCGTGCCGATTCTCCCATCTATCTCTCTCGCAGCTTCGTCCTTGAACATTTGTGAAAAAAAAAAAATAAATAAATAAATAAATAAAATAAAATAAAATAAAAATAAAAAAAAAAAAAGATAAGATAAAAAGAAACCTTTGCATTTCAATTTTATTCCATTGTTAATTTGCTCGACGTTATCGATACGCACGACTTTTCTTACCGACCATTATATACACGATAACGCATCTCCTCCATTATAACGCGATAATATCCTGTTTTATCGTTATTCGAAGCTTTGCATACTTTAAGCGAAATTCACCCCAATTCTCAAATGCACTAATTTCTTGCTAACACATTTTGCAGAAATTCTTCACATTGATCATAGCTTATTGCTGTCATATTAGATTTAAACAAAAATATTTCTCCTTATGTTACTTATACATCCAATTATTGCTGCTAACAATCATTTTTTTACATTTCAATGAAATTGAAAAAGTATTTGTTTTATTTGGCAGATGGCAAGTTCATTTTAATTACCATTTCATAGAAATATCATAGAATATAGATGAATATTGAATTTCAGTAATCTTTGAAGAAATATTTTCACGATAATACTTAGAAAGCTGCAGCATAATTACAATTGTAACTGTATAAGATATTAATAAATAAGATGCGATTCATTAAAGGCATAAAAATTTATAAAACATAAAGGATTTTTAATTTTTAACTTAACAATATAAAAATACAAATAATTGAAAAATATACAAATCTAAATTCTTAATAATGAATTTTAAGAAATTTTAAAAAACTGCATAGATATATTCAAGAATTGATAAGATTTATAATTATCAATACGTTATTACATTAAAAGTGATAATAATTATCAGTAATGAGAATGAAATATATACACATCAGGAATATGAATTATAATTTATATTTGAAATAAAAATTGTATAAATTGGAACATCAGACGTAAATTATAATAATTAACTCTTCATTAATACAGATGAAGATCCGCATATTTTAAAGTATGAAAAAACAAAACTTTACAAAATTGAAAATAAAATTTAGAAATAAAACTAAAACAATTTACACGCATGACATATAATAGAAACGTAGAATATTTATTATCAAGTTACAAAATGTATTTTAATTTTCATATGAATATTTATTGTAAAGTTAGTATGCAGTATAAAGGAAATAACAATTTCATTTACATGGAAATAAATTATAAAAAATTAAATGTAAAAGGATAATAAAAAATTATCATTATACGACACGACACACACACACACACACACACACACACACAAAATTATAAAATAGAGAAAGCAGCATAAAATTCAAATTATATGTTTCAAAATAACATTTCTATTAATTAATGAATAGGTAAAAATTATAATTATATATTATATATAATTAATTTCAACTACGATTATTTACATCAATGATTTATAATGTTTTCATTTGATAAATTTGTCCGCGAAATTTCTCTAAGAATGATTTTCTTTTTTAATCGACTGGATTGATTAAACGCGTAATTTCATTTAAGAATTTTAAATATAATGTTTATATGTAGATATAGATTATATGTAAAAATTATACATACACATTTCGAATTATATACATAGATGATTATTATATTATTATACGATTCCAATATGGCTTGAATTCTAAAATATACAGCGTCATATCATTATTTTTTGTTGTTATTATTATTTATTAATTATTATTTATTATTATTATTGATTCAATGCAAAATAAATGAAACTGATGATTTGAATATACTGACCTCATTATATTGACAAAAATTACTTTCGATATTTTGTGCCATTTAAAATTTATATATTTGTATAAATTAGTTTAAATTCTATCTATTATCTTATGCTTATTTAGAAAGTAGAATTGATATTTATTTGATTTTACTCTTATTATTTATCTTAATTAATTTTCTTTAACAAATATAATTATTTGCATAGAATATTATAAGATCATTTTATCGATTAATTATATAACCATGGGTATCATTTGTTGCTTTAAAATAAATTCTTTTAATAATGAAATCTGTCTATCAAGTGAATACGTTAAGTTCGAGTATCTAAGATGAATAAATATATCAGAGAGAAGAAACAATTTGTAGGTTAGAAAATCATTTTAAATCTCATCAAATATAGCTTTTGAATTTTGTAATAAAATATAAGGTATGCGATAAGATTGACATAAAATACAAAATGTAAAAGATAATGTAACGAAGCGGTAGCAATGCCATCATTTATTAGATACAAATGATTTATTATATTGAAGTTAATGTTTTAAATATTAACGTGTCATCTATTTATAACGGTATTACAAAGTTACAAGTGAGCCGCAGTCCTGAAATGCGTTGGTATCAGTCACGTTGTGCAGTAAAGGCCATTTCGTTCCCCTTGACACCAGAGAGCAAAGAGTAGTATACTTCATTCTGATGCTTTAATTCTGTCTGTCTCTGTTTCTCTCTCTCTCTCTCTCTCTCTCTCTCTCTCTCTCTCTGGCTTATTCTCTCTTCTCTCACTCTCGCTCACTCACTCACTCACCAACTCTGCACGTATCTTCCACGACGAGATGGGTGGAATGTCGATAAAACGCGTTGGCCAATGAACGAAGCCCAGCAACGACAAGCTTGCGCCGTCGGCCAATCGTCAGCTCAGATTCTCTGTAATATTGCCTTCTGGGAGAATTGGGAGGGATGAGAGGCATGGGAACCACCCTTGCCAAAAGCCTCATCCCCAAGTTTTACTCGCTCACATTTTCAACAACAAGGGAAACGCGTAGAAAGAGACAAAATGAAACGCGCGTGGATGCGCATAAGTGTATCTGCGCGAATGAAGAACAAAGAGAGGCAACAAGAACTACGCCTCGACCAACCCTAATAGGAGCTCGTTAATCCCTATGCGAAACAATGGAAATCTCCAAATGCAAAATGGCGATGGATCTTTTCAACGCCATCTCATTCGTGAAAATGCCTTAATATGCAATGACCTCAATATTATTGCTATTTCTATTACTTTTATTATTATTCTTATTGTTAATATCATTATTATTGCTGTTGTTATTATTATTGTTATTATTATTGTAAATGAAACGAATATGTCTGTGTAAAATTTGCACTCCGCATCGTGTAAATTTATTGTCATCTTTGATTTTTTTTATTCCCCTTTAATTAGCGCTTTAAGTAGATTATTCAGAAAATTCAGTATTCAGTATGCAGTATTCGAACAACAAATAATCTCTAAACTAAAGCAGTTCTTTATTTTTAATAACTTGATCTTGTTAATCTGTAATTTTCTAACTTGATTTTTAATAAATGAATGATATTAATATAAATTATATACTAGACATTTCACTCTATCTATAATAGATTCAAATTACAATAAACTTTAACAATTTCTTATATCTATATATATATATAACTTAATTAATATACATAAAAATTTCTTTATTTTTATATATTTTTTATTTATCACGTTTATTATAATATTATTATTATATAAAAATTAATTTTAGCCATCTACGTAGGAATTATGTACAAAATCTAAAACTAAAATCTGTTATATCATTCGTATTAATATAAAATAAGATGTGGTACCTATTTAGTTATATATATATATATATATATATATATATATATATGTAATAAAATATACTGTACAATAAATTTATTATTTATATCTTTATGTTGAAGAAAATTATGTTGTATTTCTATTAATAGTTCGATAAATAATTAGAATAAACAAATAATTTAGGTAATGTTTTAATAGGTCTGGTTTCAAAATAGAAGGGCTAAATATCGAAAACAGGAAAAACAATTGCAAAAAGCACTTGCACCGATTCCAGCTTGTCAAGGTGCAATGATGAGAAATATTTATCCTGGTGCTAGTAGAGGCTACCAACCATATCCACACCCGCACAATAGCATAAATGGAATAAATCGTTATCCACAGGTAAATATTTTGCATTGAATTATCTTTTCAGCTTACTTTATCGACGAGTAATAATAAACTTTTATAGAAATAATAAATTTCAATCCAGTTGAACATATAGTTGCATTCATTTCCTAATTATACTTGGCTCAAGTTTAAACGTATACAAATATTATCTAACAATTCGAATAAAATATTTACTAATCATTTTAATTATTTATTAATTCATAATAATAGTAAGTAAAGATATTTTTTTACAATATCATATGTCTTTTATTTTATAGAATATTATATATATATATATATATATATATATATAAATTCCTTTATTTCTCTATTGAGTCTTAAAATAGTTTACTTCGGTAATAATTTATTTACCCTCAAAATAATAATTTTTAATAATTATGAATGTATTATTATTTATATAATATAATATTCAGATTATGTTTATCTAAAATGTAATTTAGAATATAAACATAAAATTATTTTCTTAAAACATAAATTCTAAAGAATTATTCTTGTTTGTTACATAATATTAAATTCATTTAAAAATATTTTTTTGTAATTAATTCCTTAGCAACAATTAAATGATTTTAATAAAAAATCAATGAGCTACCAAGTTTTGTAGAGCTAATTATTTAATTTTCTTTCTTTTTCAAACTACATTATTTATATTACATTGAATGTTAAATTAAACTAAATTAAATATAAATAACTATATTAAATAATTACTTATCTCTTAAAAAACGCACAATTCCAAAATAAATCAATAATTTTATTTTTATTGATTGTGTTATTAATAGAGAAATGAATTTTCTTTTATTATTTTTATTTTGTTGTATTCGTTATACATTGTAAAAATAATTTAAGACTATTAAGATAATTTTCTGTATTATAAAAATTACTAAATGTATTTAGTATGTAGGTTTGATTAACTTTATGCACGAATAGGAATGAAAAAACTCAACTGAAAGGAATGTATTATAAAATAAGTATTTTTGTTAAAAACAATTCGGTATTGAGTACAAAAAATTTTGCATGTAATTCTTACAATTAACAAGGTTTGCAATTAATAATATAATAATGTAGAATAAATTGGGTAGACGTAAAAAAAATAAAGTTTTAACGATACGTAAAAGACATCGTTCGTTCAAGTTTTCAGATACACAACTTTATCACTAAATTTACTTGGTAAATAATTTTTTTACTTATTACTGTTTGAAGATTATCATTTTCACCTCTCATATTTAACTTAAACTCTTATAACTTTTTCCTGAAATTTTCTATTATATCTGTAATATTCTATATATATATATATATATATATATATATATATACACATATATTATGGCTTTCAATTGTTTACAAATACTCGATTATCGTACAATCAGTAATTTTAATTTTACATATTTTGAACATAGGTTTTTTACATTTAAGACATGTTACTTGTATTTGCAAAATTGAAAGTAATGACTAGCTATTTTTGTGCCATATAAATGATTTTATTCTCATAAAATTTCCTTATACTTCTTCATAATTTCTTCATATACTTATAATCTATATCTATAATATCATGCAATATTTGATTATTTATTTACGAAAAATATGATATTGTTATAATTTGCGATTATATAAGCGAATAAAAGATAGTTAATAAAGTATAGAAATTTTTCATGTTTGCGCGAAAAGTTAGTTCATTTAAAGAGATGCTGCATACATTGTGGTAATTAAATCTATTTTGTAAAATTTTTATTTTGGTCGTGTTTGAATTATGTTTCAATTGCGATTCGATTATCGAATTAAACTCTCGCATATTAGTATATTTAGCAGAAGCACAGGGACGACGCACCAAGTCGCAACCCAGAGAAATCCGGTATATTAAAGGTTAGTACGGAAATACAGGAGTACGGTCAAATGAATTCGATGCGTTTCCCATTAATGATTTCAACCGAGGTAGATATCAAATTAGAGAGCAGACTGGACTGGATTTTCATCTCGTCCTGTTCCATTCGTTCATTCGCTTCTTTCGCTCGCTTTCTCTTGCGATGTAATTAAATGTGCTACAAGCAAGTAGATTATTTAGTATATTAGCAATTTATCGCATGTAATTAAAAAAAAAAAAAAAAAAAAAAAAAAAAAAAAAAAAAAAAAAAAAAAAAAAAAAAAAATAAATAAATAAATAAAAAGTAAGACAAGGTATAATATTACTTAAATACACAATATCACTTAAACTTTTATTATTTAACCAAAGATTTTATTGTTATTTTTGCATTGCCAATAACAACCGTCTAAAAGTAAGACATTTATTTTTGCTCAGATCTATATTTAATTGAAGTATTATTAAATTTATATATATATATATATATACATGTATAACTAAAACATAATCAAAATTTCATTTTTACGGATCTTCACAAATATATGGCTACAGATTCTTAAGTCATCAATTTGGATTAATAAAGAATGAGAAATAAAACTATTCCTATACCTACTAAAACTACATCTTTAAATCGCATAATAATTTTTTCATACTCACGTCCTACATAAATATATATTCTATATTATATACAATTATAAGCATTCATTAAACAATAAATAATTATAAAATATATATAATTATTACTATGGCATTAAAAATATATTAAAAATCATAATACTATTTTTATCATTTTAAACACATTATTTTACTAAATTAATAATTCAAATGAAACGTTAAAAAAGATTCTTAGAGCTTGAAATTTATACTCGTAGTTCCCATTAAATTTTATCAAGAATATTACGAAAAATCGTATAAAAGAATTTACTTCATCAATTATTAATATTCCATACGATTTATTTAATTTACTTGATTAATTTATATAAATATGGCATGACAAAACTATATATATATATTAACGTAAATAATCATTAAATCAATTATATTGGAAATTTAATAATTATATTTTTAAGATATATATGCTATAGTTGTATAATACGTTACTTACATTACTTAAATTCATTCATTATTATGTACAATATATTTAGACAAAGGTTTTAATTTAAGGCATATAATAAATAAAAGTAAATCAATAAATTTAAATATAATAAGACAATGCTCAAATAGATTTACAAATACTAATAATTTGATGACGCAATCGAACCTAAAGTCGAAATTAAAAATACCTTTTTTTAAGGAATATAAATGATTTTGTTACGTAATATTATTCATAATATAATTTATACATTAATTTTAAAATTAAATGAGGAATATTGGTTTTTAAGTATTTAGAGCATTAAAATTATGCTTTTTATATGTATTAGATGGGAACAACGTCTTATCCAAGTATGACTCAACCATTTTCTATGTCGCATTCTGCATCAAATATGTCGGCTGTCGCTGGTATGCGACAAGATGCCATGGGTAAGTATCACTTAATTTCTTATATTAAAACTGTTTGACATTTGTTTGAAAAGTATTTCACTAATTATGAATAAATGCATAATATATATTTGCATGTTTAACTTGTATAATTCGGTTCGTGTCCTTTCAAAGATCGAATAAGTAAAATCACAATCGCCAAATTGGAAAGTAAACTTTCAATTAAAATGTTACATAATGTCAATTACGTTAATTACAAAATGTTAAATAATAGAAAATATTCATAATATTTACTGATACAAATTAATCTTCATTATTCCAAGGCTTCATAGATATACCATAAAAATTGATTTTTTAAATTGAATTTAAAATAAATAAAATTTATTTTCTTTCACATTAGATTTGAAATAAATTTATAATTATAATATAGACAATTAATATTCAATATAATTACAAAATTTAAAACTGATTGAAATTATCACACAAATTATTTCATTGTACCAAATAATAAATTAATTCATTTTCACTCTTTCTTCCAAAAACCATATAAATGATTATAAATGATAATAAACGATAATAAATTATAAACAATAATAAATGGAACGATCATTCTTTTATCAAATATTTAAATAATACACAGGTATTACTGTTAAATTAGCATTTTGTAATCATTGCGAAGTATCGACATTAATATTTATATTTACAATACATGAATTAATAAATATTACTTTACTTTTTAAACATAACAATATTATCTTTATTGCACTCAATCTTTTAAAAATATCTTACATTTCCTATTCTATTAATATCAAACCACTATTAATTTCAGTATAATTATATAATCGTAATTATGATTTATCTATATAATAATAATTGTATCTCACAGTAAAATTTTCATTTTACGTCCGAAATCAATTGAAATAAGATTTTTATCATTTTTTGTTTTTGTTTTTACATATTCTTTTTTATCTATAATTATTAAATGGTTTTTAATATTAAATCTTTTAATTGTTACATTTAATTCGATTTCTTTCTTAATTTACAATTTAATCTAGAAATATATATATATAAACATTAGTTTAATGAATGATTCTTTATGAATTGCATCTATCAATTTTAAAACGTAATTTGTTAAGGGAAAACTTCTAATTAAATAACTGTCGTCATAAATACTTATTTGAAAAAATCTTTTTTCTCTTGTAAAATTGATAATTAATGTTTATTCTTAAAAAATAACTTTTCATCGTACGTTATGTATGTAATCATGAAAGATATAAAGTTTACAAATATATATATTTGTTAAAGCTTATAAATATACAAACGTTATATTTTACAAATATTTAAATAATATTTCAATCTTTTTTTTTCTATCTTTTTCCTTTTTAATAGTAATGCAGGAAATTCATAAATCTACCTTATTTGCTTTACGTGTTTTCATCTTTTCTAACGGTCGGTCGGTCGTAGGTGTGTAACGAATGGCGGCGACAGCCAGACGTTCCACTCACGTCTTTCCAAGACGATCCATTTCCGTTGTAGCAACGTCTTACATAATTTCCGTTGTAGAATGGAATATCGCATTTAAATCAAATTAAGACTATTCGCAAATAGTTGCCAATTTTCCTAAAATATGGTTCCTTATCCATTTACTCCCACACTTTGCCATTTAACTATTAAGAGATACCAGCATTATAGTTGATTAATTATATCGTAGTTTTATATAAATAACTTTTATCGACAATATTTACGTGACGTGCAATTAAATATTTTAATATACATTTTGTTAAAATTATATGACTTTGGGTATTATTTATATATAGACGTATATACGTATTTCTTGATTATAGTTTTCATAGATTTTGTGCTAATTTTATTAATATTAATTATATAGTCATTTGCAATGAATTTATAAACTTAATCGAAAATTAAAATGGAAATTATATTTATTCGATTCATCTGAAAGTAATGTAAGTTTATGTAGCGTACTTACGCTTTCATTTAACTTTCTAAATTAGTATAACGCCAAGATTGTAATTTTAAGATTATGCAAGATGTTAAAACGAATGTTGAAATTATTTACTTTAAATATTGCTTATTTGCCTTATTGTGAATTCATCTCAAATAATTTTCTCTTTGATAATCCGTTGCAATCGAACAGTATGATTATCAAATAGCAAGTGATAACAAAATGACGATGCGAATGAATAATCGAGCTTTTAATTTCGCGCAATTATCATTCTATAAATCCTTGGACTTTACATAAACATCTACGACTTCAGCTTTTTACATTTTATAATTTTCCAAATCGTTAAAAAGATATTTGATATTTTAATGAAAAGTAATATAAGAGTCAGTAGTGTCAGAAGAAAAAATTAATGATATTGATCATTTTTCAGGATCATTTCTCACTACTAAATAAGTATTAAAGTTATATGTCAGAGTTCTAGAAATCGTTAAATCTATTTGTATTGTACATTCATGAAAATTATACAATCATCATTCTTATATAAATTCAATTGAAGATATTTTAACATTCGTAAAACGCAAAGACGTATGTGTTACAGGAATGTCAGCCGAGGACGAATGGTACAATAAAAGTATTTCTGCATTGAGGATGAATACTGCCCATCATCCAAATCTCGCAGCACCAATGCTCCAATACCAAACATAATTTTAGGCCCCTGAAGCCGAAATCTCTGCTTCATGGATGATCGCGATATGCAGCGAGAAACGCCGATAGCGTTCAATTTTCGGTATTTAATTACCGAATCCCAGCTGACGAGTAAATCAACTTACTTCTAGACTTTGCTGCACTGATCGATCGGCGATTTCAACAAGAAAATGACAATTTATTGTTCCATCATGCATAGAAGTCAAATGATGAACAGAAGATAATGCAAAGAGATAAGAAAGCGAGCGAACTAGTCGATATCTAGTCATAATAAAAAGAAAAATATGAAAAAGAATTTAAAAGTAATATACTTTACCAAATATTTTAATTTATTTTACGCGAGTGTATTTCATCATTATCATCATCATCATCATCATCATCATCATCATCATCATCATCATCATCATCATCATCATCATCATCATCATCATCATCTATTATCATTATTATCACATTATTATCATTATTATCATTATTATCATTATTATCATTATTATTATTATTAACTGGCTGAAATGTCAAAAATATAACATTTATCGATGTAAAGTCATCGAAAAATCATAAATAAATGTGTCCAAGAGGCTTGAGCGCCTTTTTTCGCCTCGACGAGAAAGTACGTTAATGAAAGTTTACTAATCATCAACAAGTCGAGTAATACGTGAATTGCGAAGTAAATCTGTAAGTTATTGTTGAATAAGAAATCGAGACAAGGACTTTTATTAGTTAGTCTTTATTAGATAAAGTGTTTCATATTGATTCATTCATATTATTTCAACTATTTACGTATTATTAATAGGCTATCCTTTATTTTTCTTTTTGTTTTTTTGTTGTTGTTGTCTTTTTAAGTTCTTTCTTAAATTTTTATTATAAATAAATTCACCATATATTCATTCGAACGCGATAGACAATCTTTAAATTATATAAATGAAATTTTTAACAATTGTATTAATTTATCCCTTGAAAGATTAATTTCCAAAATGAATTATTTTCTTTATTAATTTCTGTTTTGTTGTATAAAAATATACTTATTCATGTAAATTATAATTGTTAATTATTCCTCACTTTTTGAAATTAGTTTTAATTTTTTTTTTCTCGTAAAGGACGTTACCGTAATGAAAGTAGAGTTAATTTGTTTCAATCTATAGTTATTTCTAGAACTGCATATTTTTTATAAAAGAATGAAATATATCGACAAGCATATTCATGTTCAATACTCATACATTTTGAAGTCACGTATAGATAAAAATAATTTTTTATTATTGTCGACAAGTAAAGCAAAAATTGAAGTAAATATATAATTATGTGATATAATTACATAAAATAAAGAACGCTTATGATTGTAACTTTGTTACAAAGTTATTTTAATAATAAATATCACCAGTCATAAATTCGTTAAAAACTATTGTAGAAATGTAATAATGTTTAAATCATCGAACAAGGTTAAATAATAAAAATATAATTAACATATATTATCGCATATAATAATTAAAACTGACAGTATTTATTGTTCTAGTAATAATAAGTATCTAAATTTAAAAGCAAATCTTATATTTAATAATTTATCAATTTACACTCGTATAAGTATTAAAAATTGAAAAGTCTAATACTTTCATTTTTATGTGTATAATGTTAAATACGTAAGAATTAGTAGTCTTATGCAAGTAAAAACATAGGACAAATAATATAATGTTAGGTTTCAAAGTATAAATAAAGATGTAGAATAATTTACGGATAATAAATCATGATGAAATTTCACGTAATTTTTTTATATTTACTTAATAATATTGTGATGGATTGTTCAACATATTTTATTCGTAAATAATTTGATAAAGTCACGAATAATTAATTATATGTACTCATGTTGACTAACGTAAACGAAATATTCACATTCATAACGAAATAGGCATTCGTAGCAAAACGTAATAAGAATAGTGTTTTTGTATGGAATTTATATTTTTATTCTAAACTGTTTCTAATAAAAAAATTAATCAAATTTATATTTTTGCTTATAAGATTTGCAGAGCATAATAAAAATAGTCTTTTTATGGAAATGTGCTGGACTTATTAAATTTTTCAAATTTATATTAATCGTAGAAATAAATTTTAGTATAGTTTACTAAATTTGTGAAAATATTATTTTATTATGAGAACTACCTCAGAATATATTATAAAAAAAAAAAAAAAAAAAAAAAAAAAAAAATTTAATGTCTTTAAATTTATTCATTATTGTGTAATGGCATAAACTATGTAATGGCTGTTTTTTTTTTTTCTTTTTTTTATTTTTTTAATAAGTCACAGTTTGTGATCATTCTTTATAATAAAATAATTAAGATTATAATAATTAAAGAGAAAATTTTAAACATCGTATTTGATCTTCGAAATTAATATGTATTTACAGTTTTTATCTTTTATAAATGATTTTCATACTTCAAGAATATGATAATATTTATCGAAATTAGTTTTATTATATAATTTACGAAATTGACGATTTGTTTATGCACATAAAATAGAAAATGTTATTTTCATTAAAAATCATTTTCCTCTTAAATAAATTTTGAGTATTTCTATGATTTACGATTTAAAAACGAAAAATATGTATGATAATCACACCCGCTTTAATATGTAAAAATTAAGTATTGAAAATATCCGTATAAATTTTCTACATGTACCTAATAACAAAGTATATAATTTATTTTAATATTTATTATCAGCAATACTGTACTTTTGTATGTACATAAAAGATAAATTAATTGAATTAGTTAAGTAATATATTGAAATTCATACCCCCAGAATTATAAAATATTCTTTTGAGAAAATTAATGCATGTCTCGATTTCTCATAATGCAAAACTTTAAAGTAACAGCTACTGTAAAACGAAATGAGAATAGAAAATAAAAGTCTAAAATTTTATAAATATTAGTTAAGAAATTTATTTAACACTTATATAAACGATTAATCCTTATGCTAATAAGGAAAAATGGCTTTTGTTAATTAGTTTCTTAACAACGATTTTCAACAAAAACAAAAACAAAAACAAAAAAATAATATCAGCTCGCATTCACATATAAAAAGGGATAGATTACAAGCAAACATACAATGTACATATTATGACATAATATTATGACGATTAGAGAGATCGCGAAGTGATAGTTACACATAGCATAATCAACAGATATATTCTAGAGTATGCGACTTTTTCAATGTCCTTTAAAATATTATAACATATACTATTAAGAGCATTGTTCAGTTAAGGAAACTTTAATTTGTGTGCTTTTGTTGTAAAAGAGAAAAACAAAAATACTAATATAATCAAATAACTTGAGTGTACATCAATCATGAAACATCATTTCACGGAGCAGACATTGTCTGTCTTCTCAATTTTTACGACATATAGCCATGGACTTCGTGTACGATGAAATTATTATTTTATCTCTTTGGAAATTATAGATTATTTATTTTGTTTAAGCTATTCGACTGCAACACAAGTTGAAATTATAATTTTAAATGTTAGATAAACTTCACTTCCAGTTACAGGACGTATATTTTATAATTTATCAATTGTTAAATAAATTGTTTCTTAAATATTGTGAAAAATAGAAACTTTATATGTATGTATAGTATAACAAATTTTTCTTATCTTTTCTTTCATTTTTTTCTTCTATCGTATTTACATTCACCAATTGTTTTGCTCAATTTTATTTCCTACTATTGAATATTTTCATTCTTACCTACAATCACTTACTAGCTTGTAAACTTTTTTTTTGAAACCATTGAGTTCAATTCACTTTTCATACATTCGTGATATTTGAAAATCTGTCCAGCCAACAAACAATTGTCTATATCAATGTCACCTTTCGATAACTGTCATTTTTCCATAATTATTAATATTGTTGCGACATGAAACTAGCGAAGACAAAAACTCGCGAGCGAATTGATATTCCACCTGCTTGCTCGCGGCTTTTTGCGCAAAATGTTCCTAAAAATTAATGAAAATAAAAAAGAAAAAATATTTGTAACATATCATATAGGCAATCGTACATGCACATTCGGTCAGCCATGTCAAGATATTTTCAGCTGCATCGACAGATTCACACGCCTACATAAACAATATGTTTATAAGCAGCTGTCAATTATTCAAAGACGTTCAAAGTTGGCCGAAGAAGAGGAGGAACGAATGCACAGTAAGAAACAGAAGCGAAAATAATTTGACGCATTTTGGACGGGGGTGGTAGTAGTAGTAGTACACATTTAGTTTTAAGAAAAATCACGTATTATGACGTATGTGTTGTACATAGCCTAAATAAAAACGACATTTAAAAGTAAATGACTATTTATTGAAAAATAAAATATCTTTATGAGCTAATTTTTATATTATATGAATTTGCATAAATTCTAATATTTTATTAACATTTATTTAGTTCTAACTTAAATAAGTGGTATCACAAATTGTTAATACATCGATCATTACAGAATTTCTGCTTTTCGACTACTCAAACTTTTTTTGATCAATGCCCAGTCTTCTAAAATATCTGCATCGTTTAACATATAAACTATGTAGGGCCCGGCGACCGATACAGCCCTTCTCTTGTCGCTGTAGTTTCTCCGTCTCCGACCACTAGAGTTTAACCAGAGATCAGTGTGTATATCAACATTATTTCTGTCTTCCTCCAGCCTACGAATCTTTTCTTGAAGATCACAATGTATATTATCGTATACAAGTTCCTTTTCACTTTCAAAATTTTGTAACGCAGCCTGCTCCTCCGCTACAAATTTATTACGAATGTTTTGTAGTCTGTATTGCTTTAATATTCCAGCAACTTCCACTTTTATTTTCATATTTTCTTTCAATCTTTCCAACGGTATAAGATATTCTTCGGACTTTCCTACTTTTACCTCTCCTAATTTAGTATCCATTTGTATTACTCTTTCTTTGTATAGTCTGTAAAGAATTATGTAAATTTTCTTAACTATGGGAATCGTTAATTTTATTTTAATGATTTATTTAATTTAGGTGGTTGGCAACTAAAATAACATTTTATTTTTATATCGTATTCTTTGTCTCGCTATTATTATAATATCAATTCATATAAAATTTGAGACTTCGTCAAAGCAATGACAATGTTACATTTCAAATACAAACTAGGCGTATTATAGACTACATTTACTTTTATTCTAATTATTTTATTATTAATTAATAATCCATTTAACATGTTTATCTATTAGATTAAAATTTTATACATAATATATTTATGTAATAAATTATAGATTATTTAAATACGCAAATAATAAGTTAAAAATAAAGATAAAAATTATTATTATTAACTTCTTGAGTAAGGACTAGTTCAATAATTTTCTTACAAGTAAATTCAATGATTTATTTTATAAATAAATAATAAAATATTTAAAAAAATACCGTATAAAACACATGATTCCTCTTCTTCAAGCATCCTCACATTGTATTACTGTTAGTAATACAGAAATTTTATCAACATATGTCTTTACTCCACAATTGTTTTTTTTTTTTTTTTTTTTTCCCCAACACTCAAGGAGTTAATATATGGATTGAATATATACATAGAAAATGAATAAATAAGTCCAACTCACTGTTCCTTGAGTAAATAAAACTGTCTTTCAAGATCGACCAGATTTTCTAAGCACTCTGTTCTACGTCTTTCACACTCATTTTCATCCATCTCTGAAGAATCATCGCTATCACTGTGTTCCGCACTACTATCACAGAATACAGAGCTCTGATTGCTATCGTCGCTATCATGCGACATTTCTTCACCGTCTGGTTCAGAGTCATTCTCAACACTAGGCATCTAAAATTGAAGAGGAATAAATTATACGCTTTAATTCATATTTAACATAGAGTCATAATTTTTTTTCTCTTCTATTATAAGTATTTTATAAGTGTTGAAAAGTATAATGAAAGTAAAATAATTAATTTCCAGCTTGCTACGAGCACATTACATAGCACGTATCATTTTTAATTGTATGATTTAACGATTTTTGCAATTATACAATTATATCGTCTTAAAAATACACCAATTAAATATCTTATTTATAGAGAATTTATTAAAAATACAAATATTCTATTCTATTATGCAATTATGTTAATTGTACTGTATACTTTTCGTATATTATTAATGTACAAATAAAAAAGATTTTTAAACATAAAAGATAACCTCAAAATTATAAGATAATGATTAAATTATTGGAATAGTACATAATTATTTGTATTAAAATTATTGTCAAAATTAAGCTACTAATTACTATTAAGATCAAATATGATATAATAAATCAACAATAATAAAATATATACTGAATAAAATGTCTTCTTATAAAGTACATTTATACATAATATTTACTTTTCAAATTATAAACTAAATTTATGAACAAATCTTAAGCAAGCAATATACAATAAAAATGAGTTTAGTCAATTTATTACATTAATTTACTTTATATTATTACAATCGATATACTTACTGTGGGTAATTTATGTAGATAATTGCATTTTTAACTTCCGCAATAATAAATATTAAAATATTTCATATGCCTATACGTCTTGGTCGCAGACGTAAACTTATTAATTTACTAATTGGCACAGATTCTGTTTTAAAAGTTTCTCTTGAATAAGAAATTTGTTTTATAGCAACGCAGCTTGCTAAAACAAAAAATAATTATCACCATATTATAATAACAAGGACGAGTGTTTGTTTAATATATATAATAATCAAGGATAACCAGTTGTTCACTTAATTGTGCCTATTCATGGATTTATTTGTTGTCCACTTTTTATTTGTTTATCTTCTGATTAGAAAATAAGTATTGCATTAAACAATGTCTTTATTGTTTTATATGAAATAACACACACGCACGCATGCGACAAACACGCATACGCGCATACGCGCATAAGAATGCGCGCGCGTTCTCATATATGCGCGCACGAACGCGCATGCATGCTTATACACGTTTGCACACGCACGCACGTTTCCACACAAACGCACGCGCGCGCGCGCGCGCACACACACACACACACACATATATATATATATATATATGCGCATACAAACTAGTATGGAATAATAAAATTATACAGTATTTATACTTATCGAATGCCGAAATTTCATGCTTTTTATAATTGCTAAATAATAAATATCGAAAATATTAGAAGCTTTAATAAATTTGCGGCAAATTTGAAAGAGACTTGTGTACTGAATTAAAGTACAGAGTTTTAGTAAAAATTTTAAATTATAATATTACACAACGGCTACAACATATTTTTACATAGTAACGCTATATTCTCAGTATTTTTCAATTGACTCAGTAGAGATATAAGGTGTTATTCATAATTAAAATTAGTATTTTATATTAGAATAAAGCAATCAAATTAATGAAAATTGAATCTATTTTATTCGTAAAAGTATAAATTTTGAATGACAGAAAAAAATGCTAAATGAAAATTAATAAATTAGTTTGAAGTAAAAAATATTATTAGATAGTACTTATAGATGGTATTTTTCATATATATATATATATATATATATATATATATTTTTTTTTTTTTCTTAATGATCTTATTAAATCCTTCATTAATCTTGTAAAATTAAAAAAGTTAAATGTCCAGAAGCAAAACATAAAATTTAAAACGTAAAATCCTTTTAACAGATAAAATGTATTACAAAAATATTTATAGATTTTGATAATCTAATGTGTCAAAACTAATTGTATATTATGAGATTAAGGATTAATTAAATATACAGTAAAATATAAAAATTTTTTAATTTTTTATTAAATCTAAAAGAATGTAAGAATAATCTAATTTTTTATATCCTATAACTTTTATAAATTTATATTAGTATGCAATTTGTTATTTTTGATTGATTAATAAAGTGAAAATATAAAATATTATATTTTGATAAAATGAAGAAGGTAAAAATATTATAAAAGAAATTTTTCAATCATACCATTATTAAATTAAACTAAGAGAATATTAATTAAAAAATATCTTTAAAAATGAATGCATTTAGACAAGTTATTAATTTAGAATACCAATAATATCAAGAAAAGATTATTTAATGATATTGTGCTTTAAGTAAAACAATGATTTTATAAAAAATCTTATTATTGAGCTAAAAGTCGATACAATTTTTTCATTTGTTAAATTGGTTATAGAGACTTTTTCCAGAAAAAATTATTATCTTTAAAGAAGTACGGCTGGTAATCTACATTATAAAATTTCTATAAGAATATAATTATTGAATTCCATAATGTTGATATACAATATATGAATGTAGGAAAATTGTTTTTTTTTTTTTGTCACATAAAAATGATATTCTCTATATGCAAATGATCTATAATTGAACGTACAAATGAAAAACAAAATATTAATCGTTATATTATTGATGCAATAATTAAAGAATAATATTGTTTAAGTTTAAATTATATTTAAATTAGATTTAAGTAGTTATACTAAGAAAAAGTAGATTCAAGATTGATGATGATGTCTATGGTTAAAAATCAGTAGAATTTTTAAAATTAACAACTGTTGATAAAATGTAAATGCCGTTTGACTAAATTCGTTAAGGCATATTCAATAGATTTGGAATTATTTATAATTTGAAGCTAGTTAATTACGAACATACTGTCTACGTTAAAAATATATTTATAGATTCATCTTTGAAGTAGCATATCATAACATTATGAAATAGAATAAAAACTATCGTGAAAGATAAATTTTAATGTTTACGAAATGATAGTTTGTTAAATATAAATTAAAATGTTTAATTAAAACAATTTTATAAATAATTAGTGAAGTACATGTAATGTATTTTTAATTAAAGCAATTTGTGGTAATGTCGACATAATTTACGTAATTTATTTTTATAAATTACACTTATATATATGGTTATTATTGAAAATGATATTTTTCATTTACTAATTTTATTCGATAAAACTATTGCTCATTTTGCGGAATGAAAAAATTTTTCCTACATAAGAAGAAAATATTTCTATAATGAGATAAAAAAAAATTAGTTGAGGAAATAAATTGAAAATCGCATGAATTGAGTCAGAAATAATTTCGTATCATATGCAAAAATTAATATAAAGCTGCTGATATTTTATAATAAAAATAAACTCCAAATACATAAATAAAACAAACATATATAATAAAATCATTATTTATAATAAAAGTTTCACTATTGCATAGTCAATATTAATATTCCATTAATATTCGTTAATATCCATAATATTAATATCAATATTCGTTAATATTCCATTTTCTATAGCAATGATATGAAAATTTGGCTTCTCATGAGACTAGATAAATGAAAAGCATCCATTATAATATTAACGCAAAAATAATTTTTTATAATACATAATATTCATTATAATTTTTTAATCACCTATTATCATATTATCCTTTTGTAATGGTAATTTTTATCTTTTAAGTTTAATAATTGTTTATAATTTTGACATTACAATGTTTTAGTTAAAAATTCTCTTTATCACAAAAGTTGAAATTAAACATTCAATAAATAATTCACTCTAAGATTTAAAAATTTTATTCATCTAATATTGACTATAATATAATATAAATAAACAGTTTATAGCTGCAGAAATGATTATACTTGAAAATTGATAATTATTATTATTGCTGATACAAATCAATCCAGTAATTAAAATATCCACTAATGGTTTATTATGTTATGTTATGTTATAATAGACAATTGCGTTCAAATTTCATATAATTAATAATTAAAATTAGATCTATAATCATGTTTATATGGTGAAAAATATTAATATAATTAATCACATAGTTCAAAAGAGTTTTATATTCTTTCTGTGATTGTGTTTCTCATCCACTTAATATTTGGGCATTTTTTTTAATCGCATAAAATAATGTTCCATTATGTTAGAACTCTCTAAGGTATCTATCTCATATTTACATAAGACGATGTATAAAGAACCAGCTCTTCGAAGATACTTTTTAAACATTTATATATAAATAATTATTAGAATCTGCTACATTTTATACATAAATTCGATTTCACATGTATAATAGATGTAATAATTGTGTTTCATTAAATTAAAAGATTAATGTGACGATGAAGCGTTGATTGGGTATGCTGATAAATTGGAAATACCATGAATATTAAAACAAATTTCATTGTGAAAAAAAAAAAGAAAAAAAAAAGAAAGATGATCAGGTACGTTGGTTTTAAGAAATAGTAAGTAGATTTCGACAGAATGCTCAAGCTTTTTATTAGATAATTCAATGAAAGAAAAGAAAAGAAAAAAAATGTTATCGATACAATACAAAATTCAATTGCCGAGTTCGGTATGCATAAAAGGCGAAACACCCCTATGTCTATACACGTATAAATGAATGGAAAATATTCATTTATTCGGAAATATTATTTAATGTTAAACATTTTACATGCTTATGTACATATCATTACAAATTGTATAAGATATGAAAATATTAATTTAATCAATTATGTTGATTTTAATAAATTGATACATTAATTAGAAATGCGTTTAATTTACATTGAAAAAACCTGAGCATTTTCGTAAATCTTTACTACTTAACATCAAACTAGCCATGTACATTTAAATATATATTATATATTTCATTTATCATTTATCATTTATCATTTATCATTTATCATTTATCATTTATCATTTATCATTTATCATTTATCATTTATCATTTATCATTTATCATTTATCATTTATCATTTATATTTATCATTTATCATTTATCATTTATATATAATATAATGCTGCATAAAATACAATTATATTACTTATGAACTTTATAAAACAAATGGACAAATAATGCGATATTCGTATACTGCAAAATTGAATCACCATCATCTTATACGCCTAAAATATGCTTTATTCCATGCTCCTTAAATGACCTTCCACATGAACATTTCTTTTCAAGTTCCAAGATTTTTATTTAGAATTGCATAATTGTCTGGTTTCATACGCAATTGTTTATTTATATATGTATATAGGAAGGTACGGATTATTTGTGCATTGCCTATTAAACATTCATCAAACAATGTCTATTTCTCTCGGTTTTCTTATAATAATGTTTACACAACGTATTACATGTCAACTACACATATACCAAAATTGTTATAACGTATTTATATTCATAAATACGTAGATTACTACTAGATATCTATTAACTCTTCAACAGTTATTTTTAAAAGTAGTTATCTCGTTTATTGGAAATTTACAGCACTTTTACATTTGCACGAGCAACTTCCTTTCTCCCGTGTAATCAAACTCATAAAAATATAAGAATAAATTTATCATATTACAAATGGAATTTAAAATATTTAGGACAAAACAAGTTATATGTAAGAATATTTATATTTTATAAAGATGTAACAAGCAAGTGAAATCAAATTACTATAATAATATCCATTGTCTATGATTAAAAATTAATAAGCTCTATTATAATATTGAAAATCTTTAAAATCTTGTAGTCTCCTACGTCGATTTCAAAATATATTTTACTTTTATCAAGATTTTGCATTCTTAGGCCTAACCATATATAAACCATAGAGTGACATCAAAATTAACGCTTGACATTGTTGACCTGGAACGTGGCAAAATTAAATACATCTTACCAAAATTAAATATTTATCACAAGATTTCAGATAATTTTCATAATGATAAATATCAGCACAGAGAAATATAGAAGATATACAATATTACAATTTCCTAATTCGTATAAGTAGGTAAATCATGAAGCTATCGAGAAGTTTAATTAGTTAGTAATGCATTGCAAATTTTTAGGGCTTCGCACACTCACACATACACCATACGCCATATTAATTGTTACCATATTAACGTTAATCGGACGACACTTTGCACTGGTCTTGCAAATGCAATATTTGACTAATTATGAACTGCCGAAGAGTTAAATGAAATTATTAATAATTACAAGACAATAACGAGAACAGAGCGATAACTAAAACTCGGTTAAAAATTAAATTCAATGCGATTATAAAATGTTGAAAAAAAAAACAAAAAAACAAAAACAAAAATATACTACGATATTAAATAAAATAATTAGCAAAATAAAACTATAACATTTATGAAGTTTTCCATTTCAATAAAATCACTCGTAACTATTACTTAATTAAGTACTTAATTAAAACAAATAACCATCCTATAATTAATTTTAATTAAACGCGTTCATTTATTATTTCTTAATGGCAGTGATTGAAATAGTTTAAATGGTTTAACTCAGTTGGTCTAAAAAGGTTCAATAAGTTGAGTTTGTAAAATATAAATTTTAATAATTTTCAACAATCTTGATCATTTTTATGTGTTTAGTCAACATGAATTACATTATATATTTATAATCATTTACATTATTTCATGTTTATGTATACACATATATTACACGACTACACGTGTACGTACAGGATTAATTATAATTTATCGATACGGAAAAAAGGGTTAGGTGGATAGGAATAACATAATTAGGTCTCATGCATGGCACACACTTATTAACAATTTCAATTTTTTTTTTTCCAAAATTGTTGTTGTTCTTTTTTTTTCTTTTTTTTTTTTTTCTTTTTTATCAGAACTTTTTGTTTTTGGCTTTGGAGAGAAAAATTACAGCTTATTATACTTTTCTCATTTGGCGTACGAAAATTCATTGGATGGCACGTTCGTGTTTTGAATTAATTAAATCAAATATCAATTTTTTCGACGGGCATATTCTATATACACTAAATCAAATATTTTTAATATATATCTTAATATATTATACTGTAATTTTTAAGAAATTAACCCTTCGATGATTAAATAAAGTCTACTAATAATATTTATCAATTTATGAATAATAATAACCCACTACTGAATTGTAATTCGAGAATTAGATTAATATTTTTTTTTTTTTTTACATCAGTATTATTGTATTGCAGTCACACGGAATTGCATAAATAGTATAAACTAATAATCATCAATTGATCGGTCAATTGATGCTGCAAATTAGCAAATTAACTCAAGAATAAAATACGCACATCACCTAGTTCGAAGCTCACTATTTATTTGCAATTTTTCATTCGGAAAACAGCCTACTTCAAATTAATCATTCAAGGGTTAATTTTATTTCATGTACAGAGTTTAAAAATTAGTGCTTATTTATATTTGCATTTTCAATATTGATCGTCACATTTTGCTCTTCCATACCGGCTGTACATATTACGATGACTGTAAGGTAAACAGTCTATCGGTGACATTTAATTAAATTTGCAATTTACTTTACGAGTATAATAGAAAGTCTTACCAATAGTCATTGGTAACTGCTTTATGGTAGCGATAATTCGATTAGTCGACAGTTGATTAAACAATTTTACAATGATACACAATGTAGAGTTAGCAAATTCAGAAATTACATGTATTAACGTATATTTGAAAAGAGAAGTATTTATTAACGCTTAACAAATTGAATAACGATAGGTTTAATTTTTCATTTTCATTTTCATTTTTTTTTTTTTTTATTTTTTATTTATTTATTTATTTTTTTTTTTTTAATGAAACTTACGATTGGAAACATTTTTGTAATTCTATATACACTCGTAAGAATTATAAAAATTCGTAATGTGATTTAGAATTTTTTTTTTATCGCGAGATTATTAGTACACGCAAATCTGATATCTCCAATCACTTTAATATTCTCATATATAATTAAGTAACTTATTAATATAAACTTTTTCGATTTCAGTGAATCGAAAGTTTAAATAAAATATGAAATCTAGATACTAATTCTTGATAAATTTATTAATAATGTTCATTCGAGTAAATTTATATTTAAAAAATTCTTAAGGCACTTAAATTTATGGATTAATCACATATTTATTTAATCTTTTCTAATTTCAATTTTTATATGATTTTGTGTTATATACGACTATAATGAAAAATATAATTTCTTCTTTGTATAATTCCCTTAATTTTCTAATGACAGCAACTTTGCAACAACGCTAAAATTTATACAGCTATTATGTTATGAATTTTTAAAATATAATTTCAAATTAACGTAGAAAATAATACATAAAATTCATTTTTATTAACAACAATTTCGAATATCTGTGGTTTTTTTTTTTTTTTTAAATATGTATTATACAATAATTAATTGAAATATTGAGCAATGATTTATTGTAAAAGTATTATATCAATATGAATCTTAAGCTGTCGTATTTTCACACAAAATAATAATAAAAATTAAATTATTCTTATCAAAAAACAATAATAATTTTTATTATTAATTTATCGAATATATAATAAGATTTTTATATAATTTTCATTTTTATAATAAATATAAATAATGTAATAATTTAAAAAATGAATGAACTATTTGTATAATATAATATATTAAATATTTATAATAAAAATCAATAATACTATGAATATATTGAGTATCTCTTTTAATTCTTACAGTGTACGTGCAAATTTAATAAAATAAATGTTCTTTCAATCATGTACTTTTATTTTCTATACATTGTACCGTTTTGCTTGAAAGAGAAAAGTTAGTAAACATAAAATAAATTATTAAAAAGAACATATTGATACGAGCATGAATATAATACGTCGATCGAGCATGATTATGTTCTATTAAAATAATTAATATTATATAAATTAAAAATTTTTTTTATATTTTTATTTAATGTTTCTGAATATTCTATGCATTTGTATATAAATTACAAAAACCTTTCCTTAGATAAGCTCATTAAACAGTCTTGGAGGCAGTAAAAACTTAAGAAATTACATTTAAAATGTGAAAGGAGAGAAAATTGAAATCAATTATGAGCGAGGAACTCATCTACATTAATTAACCAATTGGCAAAGCTTCTTTCACACATAAAATTCTTGAAATTCTTTAAATCTTATTGATTTCAATACGTATACGTTCAAGAATCAAAATTTACATGCACGTATGCGTTTCCCAACCGACGAAGAGAAAACGAGAGTCGAAAATAAATGAATGAAAAAGTGAGGTGGAAGAAAAAGAGATGGGGGGGGGGGGGTTGGTGACCTCCGGGTAAGCGTTTCCCAACCGACGAAGAGAAAACGAGAGTCGAAAATAAATGAATGGAAAGAGTGAATATGTGAAGAATAATACGGCAAAGTTTATGGAATAATACGGGTTAATTTATGTAAATAAGAGAATAAATAAAGCTACTCGAGTTGTGCGTGCTTGTGTACGTGTGCGTGTGCGTGCGCGTGGGCGCGCGCGCGCGCTCGTTTGACGGGGCGGCGGTGTCGATGCGGGGGCGGAGGGGTGGAGGTGATGCGCGCGCGTATTTTGTTTTATTTATTCATTGTTTTGCTATTAGACCGAAGTGGAATGGGACGACTTGCATCTAGAATGTAGAAAAAGGTCGCTTGATTCTAGGTTTTAGCTGGAGGATCACTTAGGAAATTGACATTGTATCGAGGAATACTCTCGCTTCGGTTCGTCCGCAGGCGCTGCCGTCGCGGTTCATGTCGAGTAAAAATATCACGTATGGAACCCGGAAGATCAATAAAAGTGCAGCTCGGTTAATACACCGGCAACCGACTGCTTGACTCTGTTTTCTTTAGAAAATCATGTGTCCTTTCAGGTTCCTATGTTTCTCGCTTAGAAACAAACACACTAAATCATCCTGCTTCATTCACACCCATGCACGCACATACGCATACATGCACACATCCAATCATATTCGCATGAATGCTGTGCTTCGGACGTTATTTTCATTTGCGCTTTGTTATTACTCGATTTGTCATGGAGGTCAGTCCGCGAGTGCTTGGCAGTACGCGTTCTTGTACGTCTCCAGGAAGTTAGGGAGTTTTTTGCGATCCCTGTACCTTAATCGCATGATTTGCTGACTCTCTAACATTGTGATCAGTTGTCCGTTGTAACGTAAGTAAAAGTTAACTTGTGCACTCGAAACTTTGACTAACATCTGTCTTTTTCTTTGGAACTTGTCGATTGCACTGACACTCTCAGATCCTTTGCCTCGTCAAATCCATCGATCAGGGTCTGAATGATGAATTTAATTGTAAGTTTATAGATATTCTCCACATTTTCCGTATATCGATCGTGCAGTGTCATTTGCATTGCCGCTAAAAATGGTGATTCAATTTTCTGCGAAACAAATATTCATATCTTTAATTGGCATGATGCATACGATTAGAGATCATTATTATTCAAAATATACATTATCCTCTAAGATTGAAAATGAAAAACTCTATTTTGAAGTTGTTAGATATTTAGTAATGGACATATAATAATAACAATAATAATTTATGTTGAAGATTAAACTTCGGAATTTTTAACAAATGCAGAATACAAATCATGACTGATTTTATTGAAAATTCAATTAACATTATAAATTGGTATTATTACTTCTAGATTTCCGTTAAAGGATTATACTCAATCGAATATACTAATCTGAGAGAAGCAAGGAATAAATATAAATGCGTAATTACATAAACATATGTAGCCACTTATAATAATAATTTAATAATATATTTATACACTGAGTTATTTGTAAAATCAATATGGCGTAGAAATATTTTATAAGTAAAGTAATTATTATAAATTTCCACAAAAAAATAAATAACAACACAATATCATAATATTAATATAGCAATCTATTAATAGAAAAAAAATATATATATATAAAATAAAATAAATATTACTTAAAAATAAATACTTAAGCTACTTACGTATTAAATAAATTTAATTTAAAAAGAAATATTTATAGAAACATACAGAAATATTTTATAGTTTCAATACATGACTTTGTTTATCAACAAAAAAAAAAAAAAAAAAAAAAAAAAAAAAAACTATATATTTTTGTATAAAGAAGATTTTATCGAATAGCTACGGAGATTTCAGTATACTAGAATTATAAAAAACTTAATTTCACAAAATAAAAAGGGTTTTATCAAATTGCAATTGACTCCTGAATGTCACAAAACTAACAGTTAATACGATTAACTTTTAATACAAGTTAGAGTAAAGTACAAATAAGTACTATTTCGTTTCATTGACATTGCAAATAAAAACTTTCTCTTTAAGAAATGACTTCAGAAACGTATTATTTAAATAATAAAAATATAACAGAACAATATAAAATGAGAAAGCTATGAATATCAGTTTTGTTCTATAGTTTAGAAAATTTGACTAATATTTCATTTCTAATACTATTGAAATGAATTTGAAGAAAAAAAATGTAAATATATAAATATAAATATAAATATGTATAAATAAAAATTTTAGACATCACTTAATTATATAATAATACCTTAAATATTCGGATTAAACTCAATTAAAAATAAGTTTTATGTGTAAGATTTAGATTAAAAAAAAAATTTGAATAATATGAAACTAAAGCGTAACGATATTCATTGAAATTAAAAAAAGAAAATGATAATAAATAATTTTATTTTTTTAATAAATTAGCTTAGAAACAATTGATGTAATTTTTTACGAGATTTAAAAATTGAATTTAGAGATTGAGTTTTTAAATTCATCCAAATCGACTCGAAATACTCCATCTAATCTAGTGAATTAAATCTTAAATTAAATAAATTATATTTAATTAAACAATAAGTAACTAAAAATATATGGATTATATTTAATATTAATCCATACAAAATAACAAACCTATTTATATGCAAAGGATATTTTATTCTGTTATGAAAACAAAAAAAAACAAAAAAAGAAAATAATAATATCATTAATTGAATCAGAACATTATCAATGATAATAATAATTATTTTAAATTGATATTTACTCTAAAGAATTTCAGTCAACGTAATATTTAATAATTAACACAACGTAGAAATCGTCCCCTATCAATATAAGTAATTAGAACTTTGATATAAACTATTGATTATAAAATCATAACTCAAATGCATCCAATAATTATATTAGATATCTATATTTACATATCCTACGCTATCTTTCCTTTCATCTTCTATTTATTTAATTGTTAAAAAAAAAAAAAAAAAAAAAAAAAAAAAAAAAATGTTGGTTATAAACTATTGTTTTAATATAATTTTTAGTTAATTTCATTTATGCCAATTCAGTTATTAATTTAGATATGAATAAAGAATTCGTTCAATAATTATCAATTTTCCAGTATATGATTTTGCATGACATATTCATAAATAAAATCAATTTTCACGATAAATTCTACATATATGCATAAAAGTTAATAATAATGTATCATGTACTTGCATGAAAAGCATTATTATCTATAGAACATTGCAGTTACATAATAATGTTATATGTCATGTTTTATTCACCCAAAAGTATTCGCGATTGAATCCTGGTATTTTCGTGTGTGTCGCACCAACTTGATGAAGAAATGTGAGGAAAATGTCCATATCATCGAGGCCTTGAATTCCTTCATCAAGTGTACTCATAACTTTTTGTGCGTGATCAGCTAATTCCATACTTGTTGACTGTTCTTCTTTCGTTTTTAAATCCTTAAATTTCGTAAATAGATTTAAAAGCTCTGCATTTTCTTCGAACAATCTGTAATTATAATTATTTACATAAAAAATGATTGAATATTTATTTATTGCTGCATTTTTTTTTTTTTTTTTTTTTTTTTTTTTTTTTTTTTTATGGGCTTTAATGATTGTATTATTTGACGATGTATTATTTCGTATTTACTTTAACATTGGTAATGCTTTTAGAATTGCGTGTAATTTTTATTAAATCACCTAATACTATTATTAATTTAATAATAATATTATCGTTAAAAAATATAGAACTCAAGGGATTATAATAATAGACAAATTAATAAAAATTTTAAATAAATTTCTAGATTTATTTTTAAAAAAAATTTTGAAATTTTGAAATTTTGAAATTTACTATTCTAAATACAAAAATTTATCGTTTTATATATAAGTAACAATAAAGATAACCAATGAATTAATTAACTTGTGAGTCAAATTTATTATAATGAATATTTCAGAATGATAATACTCGACTATTTCAATGACGAGTGTATATTATTAAACTTAAAATTTTTAATAAACATTACATTAATATAAAATAAGTCGTATAATCGTCATAATAGAAGAAAAAAAAATTACTAAATAATTAAATTAGAAAAGTCAAATGAAACAAAAACTGTATAAATCGTAAAAGAAATGAAGTATTATGCTTTTAAAATATATCTTATAAGTACTTAAAAATTAATTAAAACACAGGATGTCGTTGTAATAATTCATTTATGATTTATACAATTATTTTTAATATTGACGCTTTTAATATTTTCAAAATTAATTTTTACAGTCCTTAAACCAATGTAAATAAATTTATACCAAAATAAAATAAATATAAACAAGACCCGTATGTGAATAACAAATTTAAGTCAAGAAATAAAATTACATTTAATGAAATTCAGTTGGCGCTTGACTTGCAAACATCTATAAAATACTATATAAAAATATAAATAATAATAATAATAATAATAATAATAATAATAATAATAATAATAGTAATAATAATAATAATAATAATATATGTAAATATTTAAATAACAATGTTCTATATTGAATATGTATCAATGTACTTTACCATATAAACTGTATATAATATTCAATATTATATATTCAAATTTTATTCAATCAGTAATCAAAATTATTAAAAAAAAATTCTGATATTACATAATATGTACAAAATCGGAATATATTTACGTTACAAAAGTACTAAAAGAAAATACAATCTACTATATTTTATTCTACCCTTCAATGGAAAAGTAAAATTGTTGTAATTAATAACAATTATTATAGTACTAATTCTTGTAATTAAATTACAATTAATATAGTTTAATTTATATATCCAATTATATATTTGTAAATAGGCAATTATATTATTCTGAATATTATTATGTATATTGTATGAAATATCTTTTTCAAAAACACATGCATATAATTTATTAAACAAATACATTAGTCGACATAATTGTTTCTCAAAATTAAATAATTTCAGTAAGAATTTTGTAAAAAATTTCAGTGTCAAATTATATCTATACAAGCATACATATTATTATTTTTTTTTCATAATAAATGATTTATCATGCGACACATATTTACCTTAGTTAAAACAAACAATAATTTTATCTATTTTGATCGTAATAAAGGTAATAACTTTTATTCTATTTACCTTTCTAATTTAGGAATGAAAAAATTTGGCAAAAAGATAAGTTAAAAACTTTGTAATAAAAACTAATATTCTAACTACTAATTAGATTAGTATTTGAAAAAAAAAAAATTTTTTTCTTTATAATACTTCAATTACAAAAAAGTATACTATAATCTAATATTTTTAATCTAATTCTTAAAATGTTTATCTGAAATAATTTAGATTGGCAAAAATGAATTATACTCTATTGCTACATTTACATTCGAGAAATATGAAATATAATATAGAAATTTCACGATAGATATAAACAATTATTTCAAATGTCATACTAAATTAATCTAATTCTAAAACATAAAATCAGATTAAATTTTATTCACAAAATTAAGTAGTCAATCTCAAAAAATAATTCAATTCCTAATAAGAGAGGAAATATCAAACTTTCATAGATCACATACACCTTAGTATACTTCTATATTACATGCAAAAGATAAGTGAATTACTTTTTTAAATTCTCATAAATTAAGATAATTTTTGTTATTTTAAAAAAAATGTAAAAGTAAAATATATTACTAATAGAGTATATTAGTTAGTATCTTATTTAGAATTCTATAAGTATATTTAGACAGATGTAGAGAGAGAGAGAGAGAGAGAGAGAGAGAGAGAGAGATAGGGGAAATAATTTATGAAAATATCTAACTAAATCGAGATAGTAATAAAGAATCGTTAAATATTTTGCAATAATTTCAAGTTGGTACCAAACCCCCCAGAGTGACACGTATTATGCAATGCTAAATAAAAATTATATTCCCATATATGAAAAATGTAGGCAGGAGGGAGGCTCATCGAAAGAAAGGAATTCACATAATAATACTCATATGCGTAATACACATATGCAAGTATATGGGCACGTATTGATTTCTAAGACTGATACTGGAATCCGGATTATACCGAAGGTTCGCCTGACGTCTATACGTACTTGTGATGTTTTTCGTGCATTACAAGTACTCTGACACAGCCTTAATGAAGTCACCTTAAAATTGAATACACAATCTCAGCGACGAGTTCGCGCAGTCTTCTTCATTAATAGCATCATGCGCACTCGCTTAGACTAAGATTGTATTTTTGACATTTCTTTTTTTTAAACAAGGTGTCTCTTTTCTTTATATAGTCATTACATATTTTACCCTCGGGCGTCAAAATACGCACTTACCATATCTCATTATTTTTATCATTTTTCTCTGCAGTTACTTTAATGGCTTTGATACATGATTTTGATTCTTTACTCGAATAGCTCAACTTTTTGAGCGAAAGAGATAGATAGACCGACAAAGAGAGAGAGAGAGAGAGAGAGAGAGAGTGTGTGTGTGTGTGTGTGTGTGTGTACGAGAAACAAAGAATGGGTCAAGGATAAGAAGCGTCAATCAGGGAAGAAAAAAACGAGAAATTTAGTTGTACTAGAGAGATTTAATAAGAGTGGCTTGTTTAAGAAATTGGCCTTGCCTTATTTGGGCCACCCGTACCTAATCATTGAATTTACTAATTTATCAAAATATAAGTAACTCCAATTAGATTTTTTTATTCGGTGAGGATTTTCCTTTTTAAGCAGAAGTAAAACGTGTGACAGAAAATAAGAGAGTAAAATTAAATATTAAAAATTTCATAAGTTCCATATAGATTAAAACGAATACGATACTTAAAAATTTATTTATACATTTGGGATTAAATTACATATTGAAACGAAACTTTCATAACACACGAAGATGACGTAATTTTATTATTTTCAGTTTCATTATATTTTGTAAACTAAATATTATAAAATCTCCGATTAAGAATTAAGAATAAACTAATAGTATTATTATATTTAATATAATTTTTTTGGTTCTTGATCTTCAAATATAGATTTAATTTTTATTTAATTGCATAATTACTAATACACTAAATAGCGATATTAATAAATTTATTACAGGTTCGACTTAATAATACTTTTTTTTTAACTATGAATATTAGTTCTTACGTGACTATGATTAATCTTTTAAATTGTATTATTCTTCATTTATTATTTAAATATTACAAATAGACTAGTTATTGGAAAGTTAACAAAATGAATAAATAATTTCAGTAGCAATGTTGAATATGAAACTGTAAATATAACATTGTGTTTCAACAAAAATTGTTTATGTTATAAAATCGTAGCATCTCCTATTTGTACAAATTTCCAAAAAAAAAAAAAAAAAAAAAATTGTAATCTAAATTTTCAATTTAAATTTTCACAGGTAAGCAATATGTTATTATTAATTTAACCTTACATTTACCTACTTTTTTTTATTTATTTCATACTTGATATTTTTATTTCAATATCAACAGTTTGTTAAGAATTTTTAAATTAAAATACTATAAAATTACAAATATTATTTATGTATTTATCAAAATAGTATTTGATTTTTATGTATTATTTATAAAAATTAGTTCTTGAATATATTCAAACAGAGAAATAATATATGGAATAGAATATATTTATATATTATAAATGCAATTATTTTTTAATTCTGCATAATTTTTTAATAATAATACAGTAAGATCCACAATTGGAAATATTACATTTTTTTTATCTAAGGATAAGAAATATATTATACATTCGAAAATTTTTATTTCCGATTTAATTATTTATAAATATATAAATATATCGATTTAAATGTTTTATATAAACTTTTAATTTAATTTTTCAAAAGATTACTATAACATTAATAATAAACTTTCTTTTTTTTAAGTATAACATTATCCATAGATATATATATATATATATATATATATATATATATATATATATATATTTACTAAGCGAATATATGAATCTGAATAAATAAAAAGTAATATTTTAAAATATAATAATTTAATTTAATGAATTTTACTCGATGAATTGAATGAACACCAATTTTTTTTTATTTTTAAGTGTTGTTTATTTTTTTGTTTTTTTTTTTTTTAATATTTCACTTATAGTTACTTCCGCGTCAATGTAAATTGATTGATAGAAATAACGTATTATTTTATTTAATTTTAAACGATTATTATTACAATTTACATATTTTTTTAAATTATAAAATATAAAATGATTTTATTATAAAATATAAAAAATATAAAGTACAATAACAAAACTTATAGCTTTTTATCAGATTGTAGAGATCTAGATAGATCTATTATCAAAATTATAAAATAATTATATTAATGAATTTATTATAACGAATAGTTTATGTGTTGGTGTAAATTACATAAAACATTAAACAAAAATAAGCATAATCTTATTATATTACTTTGAATGAAAAATGGCATTATATGAGTATAAATTTTTTATCAAATTCTACTGAATAAACTTTATGAAATTAATTTACCCAATACATTTTTCAAATTACAAATATTCTTTCTAACTATTTCGATTTTCTGACTATTCTAATTATTTCCAATAAATTTCATTTTTCAATTATTCTGTGAAATCTTAATTAAAATTAAATTGCTTTATTAAAAGTTATAAGATGTAAAGTTGAATTTGAATTTCGTACCATAAATTGTTAGAAACATCAGTTAATAAGATTTTGATTTGATATTCGGTTTTTTATGATAATGTAAAAGAATTGTCTAAAAATCCTTGAGTTAAAAGTTAAAAATCGTAATCGATAAGTTAAGTCTATTTAATTGTATCCCTAATGAAAAATCATAAGTGGAGATAGTAAATATTAATGTTTAATTGTTCATAATGCCACAATACTGAACAAAGTAATGGATTATTTTTTTAACTTGTTTTCACTAAACTATTTGAAGTTTTCGCTTTATAATGCGAGCAACTATCCATTTATTTATGTATTATTAATATATACTATTACTATGCTCTATATGTCTAAACCACCATATATAACGTGTTAACTGCGTGAATTATACGAACTCCCTTCTGATCATCAAAGTTAAGTAGTATTGGTTTCGTGTTCAAAAATTGGATGAATAACCCTATACAGCATCAACTTGCATTGCAACGACACAGCGGTTTTCCATCAGATCAATAACCAAAGAGATCCTGAACATACCACCAAACTCAATTGAAAAAATGCCATCTCCTAAGTAAAAGCAGCAAAGCCGCAAAGGCATCTGATTGCTGTTAATCGATATTTTCATTCTCTTTTGATATTATTCGACTATAGTATTATTCGAAAAAGTATTACTCGAATATTACTTCGATGAATTGAATTATCATTGTTCTATTACAAACTATATATAATATTATTGTTTGCCGTAATGTAAGCTTTTATACTATATTAAATACATTATTTTGATTTTTTACAAAAAAGTACCCTCGCACATTTCTATAATTATTTAATTAATTAATCTACATTGGCGTGTATAAGCTTTATTTTACAAAAACATTTAGTCGAGCAATAATCTCATTCTTGCATAGATTATACGGGTTTTATACTTACATTCTGCTAAACATTGTAATCTCCTCTATTAGAATAATAATATTCAAAAATCATAACAAAAATTTATTAATAAACGGTTCGATTATTTTTCATTAGTCTAGTCAATATAAGTACCATAGATAATTATGAAATCGTCAGCAAATATAAGTTATAATATTTAATACAGTCCGTTAAAAAAGAAAACTTTTTAATTAGAAATAAATTATATTGACAAAAAAAATAATAAAGTATAATAATAAAATTTACATTCACGCTTATTTTCTAACTATTTAAAATGTTATTAATTTGAAGATATAAAATTGTTAAAAAATCTTTTAAAAATTGTTCATACATTCACAATGTTATATTCGATAAGAATATAAAAAGCATTGATATACATATTATAAAATAATTAATTTCTTAATTAAGATTGCACTTTATTGTTGAATTTCTTTATATTTCTGGAATTATTTTCATGGTTAGCAATTACTTGCTTGTTGGCTAATACATAGTAGTTAATCGATAGTCAATCAATATTTAATTAAAAATATATACAATCAATATATACATTCTAATACAAATAAACAAGTTTATAAGTTCGTTCTTTACATTTTCTAATTTTAGAATATAAATATAATTTTACATATTATTGTGATATGTTGAAAATTGTAATTTTGAATATATCATTTCATTTTTATATTAATATTAGAAAAGATTTCAAATTATGATTAAATTTTTTTTGGAACGATTATAATTTTATTTTTAATTCATATATATATATATATATATATATATATATATATATATCACAATCAACTATAACAATTTATAACTAGATTAATAGTAAATGTTGAATAAGAAAATAAAAAAATTAATATTTTCGGATGTTTGAAAAGTGTACATCTCCACTGTTCATATTCATTTTATTATATAATATGGATTTATCAAAAATATAATTCTTACTACATTCATTATCGAATTTTGTTTTATGATTTTATGCATAAAATTATTAAATATATCAAATTAATTAAATCGTTTGATACGATTCAAACAAAAAATGTCCATATTAATTTATAATATTTTATGAAAAGTACATTTATTACTACGTATGTGGGTTAAATAACAACTAAATACTTAACATTAATACTTATTTAAAAGTTTTTCATATTATCTAATATTCCACATATAAATATTTATTAATTATATTAACAGAGTACAAAACAATATTTACGATAAAAATACTATGTATCGTTTAAAAAATAAAATGCAATTGCAGAAATAAAATCCGTTAAAAATGTAAATATCAATAAGTTATCTGCGTGACAATAAGTACCATAAAAGTTGAAAATCAAATGGAATTCTTATTATCTTTTACAATATATTCCAAATTGAGATAGACATAAAATTACAAGAGATTAAAATTCTACATATGCCTATTATAAATATTACCTGTATTAAACATGGAATAAAAATACAAATTTATATACTAATAATGAAATTTTACGTAAATTTTGTTAATCTTTCGAATACGCGATATAACAATTTATACTTTTAATCTCAATAAATACATAAATCTTTATGATGGTATAATATAATTTCTATTGTCAACTTAATAACTTAAAAAGTAATCTGTTTTGTTTTTTATTTAGTGTTTTTTTATAAACATTTATAGAAAATGCAACAATTATTAGCTTAAAATATTAGAAAAAAATATAATTTTACTTTATATTCAACATATCCTGGTATATAAGAAGGGATAATAATTTTTTAATTTTGAATAAGATTTATGTCAACATTAAAAAAATAAGAATGTATGATACATTTAAATAATTACACTTTAATTGTTTAATACTCACTTTGAACGATTTTATTTTTATATTAAATATTTGAAAATATTATTCAAAATACTCATACGATTTTATTATGAAATTACGTTAAGTACAAGTTAAGTACATTTAAGTATAGCCAAATATAAGAAATAATTATTATCATTTAACAATAATCACGAACCTGAGATTTAATTATTATTATTTATTTTTGAGTAAATAAAATCTATGGAATTATTCTATCGATTGTAGTATAAAGCTGAACCAATTAATTCCAGTATTTTTACCAAACTGCTTTGAAAATTCCGTGAAATGACAAAGGTACGATAATATCAGTTGTATTAAACCTTATTTTTATCTCTAAATTGAGAAATTATAATATATAAACATAATATAAGTTAGTATAATATAGTATCACTATGATTTAACACCATAGTCACCAGAATTTAATTTTTTTTTCATTTTCTTTTTATTCCATATGTATTATACATTTTAATTACAAGTAATAATTTAGCATACAAATAGCTTTTTAAAATAGTCATAAATATAATAAAATAATTTGGTAACGTAGGAAAATTCATTAAAATCAGAATTAAAGTTAACACAACTTTTTCATACATTAAACTATTCTACAGGATGATCGCGATACACATATCGATGTAAATTAAAAGAAATTTCACGAATAATACTTCTTTTGTGAGTATTTATATTATTAACGGCGTATAACCAAAGCATGCATTTTAAGTAAATTAGAGTATAAATTTCAGTGCGAATGGCTTAAATCACTTTTTCAATATAAACAACTGATGAAAGAGTAATAGTAACTCTTCTTAAACAATATTTTCATAGAAAAATCGATAATTTTTAGAAAAAAAAGTTTTGGCGAGAATTCGTATAGGAACTAAAAATGTCAAATTAATCTAAAATAAACAATTGGACAAAATATAGTAATAAATAAGGATTAAAAGCGATGAAAGATAGTGAATAAAATCTTATTATAATAATCGATGATTAATAAATATGAAAATTATAATTAGCGTATATCGTAGGGTATCGTCGAATGTCAGATAGAGCTCTTTAATTCTGGAAAACTCTCTCAGACATTAAAGCCGAGTGATTAGAAAAAGATAAAAAAAAAAGACGAGGAAAGAAAAAAAAGAAGAAGAAATTTTTTTTTTTTACTGAAGTGTCAGAAGAGTGGAAAGAGCTTTCGTTATGACTGAAGACTAAGCGAAGGAGAATCGAGTGGAATGGGTTGACGATGCGAGAGTGTACGGGCACCTGATTGGGGAAGGTTGACTAGATTCTCATGCCCGAAGCCCACGAGAAGGGTCGCGAGAAGGGCCAATGTTAGTAATAGCAAATACATTATTATTACTCAAAATAACGTGTTTCGCAAAAAATGTATCGCATGTGCTTTTAATGTTAGTGACCGAAGAGTGAAGGATATATAGATAGATAGATAGATAGATAGATAGATAGATAGATAGAGAGAGAGAGAGAGAGAGAGAGAGAGAGAGAGAGAGAGAGAGAGAGAGAGAGAGAGAGAGAGAGAGAGAGAGAGAGAGAGAGAGAGAGAGAGAGAGAGAGAGAGAGCGAGCGAGAGAGAGAGAGAGTCCCAAAGTCCCCATAAGTGGGAGCGCGCCCACCTCCCACCTGCTTTTGAATCACATGGCGGGGAAAATTGGGTCGCGCGACGCTCGATAGCCCAGTTAGAGATCAGGGACAGCGGGGACGTCGTAGCGGGAAGTGAAGTGGAGCGGGGCGAAGCACACTTCGGAAAATACACTTACTTGACAAACATATAAACGCCAGTAGGCTCCATTGCCTTGGCGATGGCCTTCCAGCTGGCGGTTAGCAGGTACTTCTGTCTGGCGGTGAGCGGGAGCCGGGGATCGGTAGCCGGCGGTGGGGGCGGGCTCTCCCGTCCCGAACCCGCGCCCTGAGGCTGGGACGTCGCCGAGGTGGCGAGCTTGCCGAGCTCGCAACCCATCCTTAAAATTCAACAGGAGCGCTAATATCGGACTGGAAGCGCGACCGCCAGCGGGACCCTCGCCGCTGGGGTGAGCGACGGGGACCGCGCGGCCATCCGGCCAAAAGCCTCCGCTTCTTTCGAGCTGCACCGGGTGCTCGACTCCTTCCTTGGACGCGCGCCCCGAGCGCGGCGCAGTTCGGCTCTCGGCTACTGCTTGGGAAAGCGGGACGTCGTTGCGAGGCCAGATGAGTCGAGACTACGAGCGCGGGCTCGAGGCGCCGCGGCTCCTCCGGGGGAGGGCGCATGCGCGCCCGTATTCCCCGTAATCACTCCTCCCCCCCCCCCCCACACACACACACACACATCCACCCACCCACCCACCCACCCCACAAACCCCACAAACCCCACTCCCGACCCGCCGTCGTCTAGAGTCGCGCAACCCGGACGCATCCACCCGGAGGAGCTCGTCCGAGTAAGTATAACGTGTCGGTGGTGCGCGTGCAAGCGGGCCAACTATCGATCAATCTCGCGAGCAGGAGCCGGCGAGAACGCACCTGCGGATTTACATGGACGCGGTAGGGTGCGGGGCGCCAGCTGCAAATCCTATAGTGCGCGCGGCGCCGTGGCGTCGCCTGATGGCTGCTACCCGCCAGCAGCACCTCCCTCCCACCCACTCTCCCTTTACCAACTACAGGCTGGATTTCAACCTCGTAAGAGCTCCTCGCCTCATCTCGGGCAACCGGGCCCCGGCTTTCCGCGCTCAGCATTCGGCCGCCCCTACTATGTCTTGATAACCGGGAGATAGGAGGATCGATTCGAGTGTCTTGCAGTATCTAGTCGTTCGTCACTAAATTCACTTCCTATCCCTTTCCCATCACCTCTTGATCGCCCATCGCCTTCTCATTGCCTCCGTGCGCTATACTTGCTGTTTATGGCTAATGATCGTTGCGCGTATATTCGTACCGTCGCGATTCTCGGTGACGATTGTTTCGACGAAAGATAATTCGTCGAGCCCCTGCGGTAAAAACAGTCTCTAGGAAATTCTACTTTATCAGCGTAGATTATGAAGTAATTCAGTGTTTGAGCAAATATTATGCTCATTTACTTACAAATGCCGTGCATTTTCTAATTATATGCACCACTCGGTATTTTATGACAAAAATATATAAGGAAAATGCTCGTGCGAGATGTTTGTCAATCGAAATATTATGGGAATAAGCATTGGTATGGATCATTCCTGCGAATAATTTATTAATTATATTATCTCTGCTTTGTTCGCTAAATATATATTATATTATAATAAATGTAGCTTTCATAAACGTAAGGATAAATATGCTTTTTAAATTGTCATAAACGTATAAATAAACTACATTCTTACTTATACTCTTTTAATCTTGTATGAAATATATCGATTTTAATCATCCAACTTTATTTATTGCCTCGAAAATGTAAAATACGCTAAATTTATGTCGAAATTGCATTACATTTGCTATTTACGTATAAAAATAATGGAAATCGACTACAACATACATAATTCCTGAAACTCTGGATAATAAGAGTCAAGATTTGATAAACAATAAAACAATAGAAACAAAACAACAACAACAACAACAACAACAACAACAAGAACAAACAAACAACAAACAACAACAACAACAACAAACATCTATTCGAGTAAAATATAATCGCAAACTGATTTATCTTTTATTCTCGTAATATACATTTTTCATTATCTAACTTCACTATATATTTCGTCAAAATTATTAAATATTAAATATTCCATCAGAAGAAAATAATAATAATAATAATAATAATAATAATAATAATAATAATAATAATGATAAAGGAAATAATTCTTCATTATAAACTGATACGAATCATTATAAAATGATATTTCGTCGACAACCCGAAGCTTCTAATTTAATCCAGTAACGCTATCGTAAATCTCTTACATAAATTTAATAATGTGACATGACTATACAATGAACAAACAGCGTGATTAATTAATACGTGTACAAAATAGTACAAAAGCAAAAACAAAAAAAAAAACAAAAAAAAAACAAAAAAAAAACATATATCTTACTGTTAGGGAAATGATATAATGAGCAAACGAATGCATTTCAGTTGGTGATATATCTGCATCTGTGATTTTTCTCAAAACATTTCATTTCAATTCCTTTCTTTCATCTTCATCTATTTAACTTTATGATTTTACGATTTTGTGATTTTATGATTTTATATAAGCTAGTATAAAAATTTCCAACGAATTTACGCAACAAAATGCTATTTACTTGGCAACGTTTAGATGCTCATGTTGATTATTAATTAAAAAGATAATCACGTACGAGACGCATTTCGAAATATATAAAGCAAATATTTATATAAAAACATCAGAAATGAAACTGAAAACAAGCTTAAAAGGTATAATGGAATACATTATCCATTGTTGTAGGAATTGTGCACTTAATTATCTTAACACGCTGTACTAATTGCCATGCTGAACTTCTATTCAACGTGCTCATGGTAAATGATAGGTGAAGAAGAAAAAAAAAACAGAAAATAGCGAATAAAATTCTATATGCCCATCCAAATGATTGTATTGAAAATAAATGCTATGGATGTACGAAAGTTATTAGTTAGATGTTTAAAGTCTGTAATTAGACAACAATTAAAGTGTTGCACATCAAAAAAGAATAACTAATCAAAAGTATAGAGAGTGAATGTAAAAAAAAAATATATATTAACTTTGCCATTGGCCGGTAAATTATAAATAAGTACAATTTTTTTTAAATTCACATGATTACATTAATGATTAGACTATCTGCCGAAGGAAGAAAGTATGGGAGAGTGGGAAGCTGTATTATGTAATTGATTAAAAATATCGTAATTAGCAAAGCAATTTAATTGTTAAAATGAAAAAGAAAAAAAAAAGTAATCTTCCGCCATAAATAGAAATGCCCTTTGTCAAATGCCACAGTAATGACAAAATTAATTAAATTATCTTATAAATTAATTCTCCATCTCTACGATTCTTTAAATTTAATCGCTTCCTATAGTATTCCTATCTACATGTAATAAATTGGTTGCATGAGAGAAATTTTTATTAAACTTTATTACTATTATTTATTATATAAATGCTTTAATGAAAATAATAGTTACTTTAGAATTACTGACTTATCGAATCACATGTACTCGTATATTTTTATTTTGCCATTAATTAATTGCATTTTAATTAATAGATTTTATAGTAACGATTTTTGTCGTCGTCGTTGTTGTTGTTGTTGTTGTTGTTGTGATGGAATCGATTAGAGAACCAACTGTTTTGTCTAACACTTTTGGGTGCCATGTAATAGTTGAAAAACTACGATATTATTTTTGAAGAAACGGTTATTAGAATTCATGGTGGCTTACCAATGAATTTGATTAGATATTATTTTTGCAGGAATACTATTATTTTATTAATTATTTTGTTTTATGAATTAGCCATGACTTAGATTTTGTTTTTTAATTTACAATTTTATTTTATTTTATTTATTTATTTTTTTTTTTTTAATTTCATTTACAAATAACTGTTAGCTTGTACCTACACGTAAACGTAACGAATTACCATTTCTTTGCTACCGACGAATTTTTTAAAGATGAATATTCAAAGCATCTTTAAAAATTTTAAAAACTCCGATGCCAATATAATTTCTTTATATAATATTGTAAAAATATTCAGTTGTGAAAACGTCTAAATTCACTTGAACCCCTATCTTACTAACACTCATTCCATTATTAATACGAATTCTTCTACGCCATTGTATAACCATTCCACATATTTTTTTATATTCCCATATTCTATCTAAAATTTACAAAAATTAGTATATTTCTTTTAGGAATTAATTTTTGTACAACAATATTACTTTTGAAATTTATTTACATTGAAGAGTTAAAGATAAATGAGTGAACCAACATATGTAAATCAAAAATACTTTAATAAAAAATACTAAAATCAACAATACAGAAATGCGTGAACAATTTCTTATTCAGGAATAAATTATTTATAATAATAATAATTAATCATTCAATCGATAATTCATAATTAGAGAAACATTTATACCTTTCGCATTTCGTGATATTTCCCGATAAGTTATTCGACAACTTAGTGATAATAATTAATTACAATTTATTCAAATACCGTTCGTCTAATTAGAGAATTCAGTTGTTCTCTAGAAACAGTACACAATTGACAATACTTTCGAGGAACAAAATAGAATCAAAAAGCAATGATTCTCTTTATCTACCTCGTTCTATCAAATAATTGTTCGAAACAATCCACTGTACAAGCTGGTTATGATTTAAATTTCAATAATTTCAAGTAAGCACAGCATTATTTACAGCAGTAAAAGTGCACAACTTTTTATACAGAAAGTAATTTCGTATTTTAACACATATTTATAGATGTCGCTAATTATCAAATTCATTTTACAGTTTTTATTAACAATAAGTTGGAAAAGTGATAAATAAGAAAAAGTAGATGAAACAATAATTGAATTAATATAAATGTAAATGAAAAATACATTTGAAAGAATCAAATTGTCATAAAAGGACACAATAATTTTCTCTATTAAAATACTAATTAAATTAAATATTAATGTAATTATTTATAACAAATTAATACATAAGAGCATACAGCATTGTGACATTCAAATGACTAAATCCTTTTAAAATCAAAAAATTGATCCAATATTTATAATAAAACATTTTCTATACAATTATTTTTCACAAAACACTATACACATTCACTTAGAATTCGTGCATTCGGTATAATAATACTAATGATAATCAATATATAAATATATGAAGCAATCATATATTAAGATATAAATGAGATTATGGCCTATACGATATACTTTATCATTCAGAACTCACGAAAGCAACGAACGATAGAGAAAATCTCTTCAAATGCGTTTATTAATATCTGCAGAGAGTGTATAGGATGAATAAATATTCAATACAGACGTGCAAGTGGTCCTTCCTTCCTTTCCAGGAGGCAAAGAATCTTTTAACTTAATTAATATCAAATGGAGATCTTCTGGTATGATGGATGTAAAAACGAGAATGCCAAGAAGAAGAAATCCATTGCCATTGGCTAGTAGGAGGAAAAAATTGTTCTATTAGTGCTAAAGGTACCACCTTGGATCATTATTCCCCATAAATTATCAAATTATCAGCTGATCTAAATACG